ATTACCCTTGCACCCACTAATTTGTGTAATTAATAACCTTCTCTAAGCCTCAGAAAGAGCGCTTTATTAATAACAATCTATACATGTGCTCCTTAATGAAATGGCAGGGGCTAGGCCATTCGTTGTGGAGGTAATGTCATAATCAATGGTGCCCAACATGTTAATTACCACACTTATTAATTGTTACAGTTGGATCTGAATGCTACATGCTGTCAGCCCCTTTGTCCCTTTATGTATAGCAATCAGTGGATTGAAAATGGCAAATCTAATTAGCCATTCAGCAGGCAGGCTGAGAATCCAAATGAGACGGTATCAGGCCTGACAGCTGGCAGCCGAGGCGCCGCTCACACTGGGCAGTGAACAAAACCAGCTTTATCCCGTGCCCCAGGAAAAACAGAGAAAGGATGTATCGCAAACTAATAAATACATTCACAGCAGCAGCCTGCCATATCGCACAATGCTGCAATGAAATGGCTGCTTGATGCCTTTGTCTGGTACAAGCAGTGTTTATGCATTTATCAGTGCAGACAGCACCTCTTCATTGGGCACAGAGCAGGGCTGTGCTCCACCAACAGCTGAGATGTCATTCTCTTTATGTCATGTAAATCTACAGTGTACTCTACAGTACAGGACACAGATCTCAGTGATATAGTAGTATTTGTTAATTCTAGACATATGTCAAAAACATTGCTTTTTAATGGACATCATGGGTTGCATGTTATTATTGCTCAAAAGAACTTAACATTGTGAGCAGGCTTGCCTCTCCACAGACCTGACTTAGTCTGATAATTTGCTGCGTCAATCTTAGAATGACACAAGTTTTGTCTACAATAAAACTACATATTGTCAATGGATAGCATATATTTATTTTCTCATGACTCAGAAATGTAGTCAATAGGAATACAGTAGATGAACATTACAGTACATTAGGTGTCCCTGTGCCAACTTCACACTAGCAATGTCATTAATTCAAGTTTTAGTGTTAGTTTGAACTTTTTATTATTATTATGATTATCATTATTATTATTATTATTATTATCATTAGTATTATTATTATTATTAAAGCCCACACAGCCCAAATGCATTTACTCAAAAACATTAGGTTTGAACAACAGGAACATTCAAGCAGCTTTTAACTGATTTGATTTGCATTTCTCTTAACACCCAGACAAAAAGTATCCATATTTAACTCCAGCAGACGCCACCTGTAAATAATGCAGCGTGGAGGGTGGCAGCCAGGGGGAGGGTGGCTAAGCAGGTGGAAGAGCCCTCCCGAAACCATGAACCAGAACAGTCCCTATAACACAAGGGCACCCCGGCTGTAGGCTCGGCCAACACTCCCAAACATTGATGAGCAATAAAAGCCTTGTGCACCTAAGTGAGAGATGTGACTTTAAATATTTTACACACATTGTCCATATGCAATTTACTCACATCTGGCTCTGCGCAGCAACAACATCTGGGAACTGTGCTTTAGAGGCAATTAATTCTTCATCTTCAGCTACCATGGTCCTTACTCTAATGTCGGATTATGTTAACTTTTGCTTCAGTTTTTAAAGGAGAAATGTTAGGCAAAATGAACCTTTAACCATAACTGACTTACTCAAAGTTGTATTTTGATTGATTCATGCATGTTTGAATAATGCTGTGTTGTTTTTCATGCTTGAGGCTTGTATTAACAGCTAACATAACAGCCAATAATTTAAGAATTTTGGCAATTTTTTGTAATAAGTCCATAATGTTGATAGTGCTATTAAAATATATAAACAGTGAATGCAGAAATATAGAATGAATGTATGCTTGTCACCCTCAATTAAGTTAATGCCCCTCATTAACACCATCCTCCTTTTTTTTTTTTACCTTATAAATATTGTAATACCCAGCCCAGTATTGTAATAAACTACACTGTCACATTCTTGGAAAGGCGTTATTACATTATTGGCTCATTCAACTTATTACATTATAGGCCGGTTATCACATTATGGGACCATTATATTTAAAATTGGCCAAAATTGTTACGTTATTGGATGTTAATATATTACTGGCCATTATTACATTATCGATTACGACAAGGCATGAGTGTGAAATTCTTGTTTTCACCTACCTCCTATCTGGAGTATTGAACAGGAAGTCAAAGGACCTATTTCTATTATTGAGCTGTTTTGTATCAATGTTTTGGTCTTTAATAAAGAAAATGTTAAATTCTTTGATATGTTTGCTGAAATGCAATACTAGGGATGCACTGAGGATGCACTACTGGTATATGATATTGGCACCAATATTAAAAGATAAGATTTAGAGATATCAGTTTAGCTGATATTGGTCTATAATATCTGGATATCTGGTCTATAAATTGGTTGGCCAATGTTGGCCCAAAATGTCTCATAAAAACTTTTGTTTTTACAGAGCTGTTCTGTAATTACTTTAAAACATCAATAACAGTTACAAAATTTGGATATATTTTTCCCCAGGTGCTGTCTGTGTTTATTATATTTAAACATTTATAATTATATTTTCAATCTCTGCCGTAGTATCAGTTGATATCAGGTATTGGCATCAGTATCAGAACAGCTGGATCGGTGACTATTACTAAATCACTCAGTGGAGAGCTGTGGCTTATGTGGATATGACAACTTTTGAAAGTATTTTGATCTTAAAGAAAATATTTGAAAAGTATAGGTGCATATGGTATTTTTACTTAGCAGCTATATCATGTAGGTGGTGAACAATCTGAACAGTGGAAAGTTTGTTTCAGGGGTGGCATTTAGATATTCACATTAAATCTTCACAGAACCATTTTGCAGTAACAAATCAGCACAAGTGCATCTTTGGTGTGGGGATGCCAGAGTATCTAAAACAGACATATTAAATTCACTTAATGTTGACTTATATATAATATATATACTTATATACTTATATAATATATATATATATATATATATATATATATATTATATATATATATATATATATATATATATATATATATATATATATATATATATATATATTTATTTTTTGTGCAACATGTGTATATATTCAGTTCTAGCCAGTGTCTGCCCTTATTGTAAACTGATGCACAATGAGAGAAGACAGACCAGTGCCATGACATTACCTCCAGAGGCTCTTGTGTCTCTCTGATGTATTCAAAGGATAAATAAGCAAAGTGGCACCAAAACAGCACAGATCAAAGTAATGAGGAGATATGGTCATGCTGTGAAATGCCTGAAGAAAAAGTCCAAATTTACATTTAGTTTGAAGTGACAGAAAAAGGTGTAGTTAGCAGCTTAGCCCAAAAGCATCTTTGGAGATTACACTACTTTGACTTCATCAGAAAGTGACCTTTGAAGAGACTCAATCAAACTGTTATCATGATGGAGTTAAAGTAACACCTAAGTGATAGATTAAGTTAAAACTGATTAGTTTAAAAGTCTTCATGCTTCATTCTTCTTCATCTTCAGGGGTGGAAATCTCTTCTTTCCTGTTGTCTGGAGGGCTCCAAGCATGCACCTTTTCTTCACACTGATAGGACTGTTTACATGTGTCTTTCCCATGGGAATCAAAGTAAATCTGAAGTTCACTGCAGGATCCAGGGTCTCTCTTTGTTGAGTGAACAATACATGGTGTTTACTGTATGACCATGATATCATTTTAACACAGGTTTCTGTCCATGGATGATGCAGATGTGGGAATCATGGCCACACAGCAGCAGCAAGGTTATGAAATCACAAACAGCTTTCTCTATGCAACTGACAAGTGTTTTCTTTCAATGTTTTGTGAGAATTCCTGAGATGAGATTTTATTATCTTTTAAAGGTCACCAAAATGACAAAAACGCTGTGGTTTGGAGAGAAGACAGTGTTCAGTGTATTTGGGTTTGCCTGGTGTTTTGTTGAGAGGGGGAAGGGGGGCATCTCAATGAGGTTCAACTGTTGTCATTGTGCTTCCTGTTAGTGTGTCTAAAGGTGGGGTTAAGGTGTTGGCTGGTCACTGGTTGTACTGGCTGTTTATCATAAACACTGCCTAGCCCAGAGAGGTCCATCTGCTTTGATTTTATTTAGTGATTCCCCCCAGGGGCCCTGCGCAGGAGCCAGAATAACAATACTTTAGCCCATCTGTTCATGTAGAACCAGCTCCGGCTAAATTACCACGCGCTACGAGCGGCTGGCATATGCTGTGGCATAAAGCTACAAGAGGGCATTGTGTGCCAGCTGTTGTGTTGACAAATACTTATCAGGCACTTCTGAAGTCAGCTTGCTAAGCTGGTTTCAAGTTTGACTAAAAACTAAACGGAGGTGTGGAACATAGCTCCTGTGGGGACTGCATGTATTATACATGCTGCATTATCTTGGGGTATCGTTTTATCAGAGCTCCTGCCAAACTGGGTCACTACATGTCCTGGGCTTAATCTCCTCATATAGGCCACATCCACCACCAAACCAGTGCTCAAATAGACTAACCATAGTTAAGTATTCTTATCCCTGTGTAAGCACAACAAACTGAGATTGTATTGTTGTAAGATATGTTTACAAGTCAATGGATGACCACTGCTTCTAAGCTCTACAATGAGGCTGATCAGAATAATCCTATAACAGGCAGTAATCTTTCTAAAAGAAAAAATAAACTAAAAATAACACACACAAATACAAATACAGGTTCATCAAAGAAGTTTACACTGTATCCCCTGCCTGATATTTTGTTTTATGATGACACAATAAGTAATTTTAACAATACTAATCAGTAAGACAATAATAATAAAATAAAAAAATCTCCCTCTCTAAAAATTCTATGCATGAAAACATGTATGTACTTTGTTATAATAGTGGTAATAATAATAATAAATAGGTATATATTACTTCCTGGAAACTGATATTGGCTGAAGCTGCACCTAACAGAACACCTTCAAAAGCGCTAAAGTGTTATTATAATAATAATTTTAAAATGCATAATTCTTATTATCATTTAAACTACCAGTAAATAAAATAAAACAGTGGTCTCGTGGCCTGGAAAATGGGCTTTATTTAGATAAGATTTACAGGAACATTACTGACATTAATTTCCACCTGTCACATGTCTGCAGTGCACAGATGCCACAGAAGAGTTGAACTCTCATAGAGAACGTGCTTCAGTCAGTTTACACACATAGGCCTGCTGGATCTCTCGGTAACAATGAACAATGAACACCAAAGAAGAGGGAGCCTTGCTTAAAAGCAACCCAGAATACTCACTTTATAATTCTTCTATGACTTAAGAAAATAAGGATTTGGACAATTGTATACTGTAATTTCATCCTAATGTTGGTTTCATTTAATTTCAAATGCTGTGATCCGGACAATAAATGAGATGCAGCAGGTGAAACTACATTAGAATGAAGTTATTTTTGTTCTTTAAATACATGCAAATATACAGTTTATAGTCTCAAAGCTTAGCACCCTGATGCCTCTTCATTCTTTACACTTTTCACTGTGTCACTATTAACATTCAGTAGTTGCTATTAGGACAGCGTAAACTACAATGATTCACTTCAAAATACAGTTCAAGAGCAAAAGGTGCACCCAACCTAGGATCTACCCTGTTTCAACTTCTTAAAAAGGGAGACAAGTTGGTCATCAGATTTATAATAAATAATATATTTATTAGTAGTAGCTAAAAAAAAGAAACTTTCTATAAATGTTACAGTATTTTTTTCCTTGTGGCAGGGCGTATCAGTTGTGTTGACATATTTCAAAGACTGTCTTTAAGAGACAGAGAAAAGGCTTGGAAAAGAGCAAATATAAATTAGTCAACACCACATTATGTCAAAATCTTACAAACCAAACACTGTGTGTGTATTTCTCACAACACACTTAAAGAAAATGGCCAGACCTTCCAGTCTTGTTATATGAATGCATGGAGGAGTGCTCACCCAGGCAGCTTTACAATAGGAGCCATTGTACAAGTCTCCCTTCATGCATTTATCTGGCATCTACTCTGCATCAGCAATGCAGGCGATTCTTCAGAGCTTAAGAGGAAAAGCAAATTTGTATTCTGTAAGACAAAACTCTTATGCTCCCCAACTAACAAACTAGCACTCACTGTGACTTCTAATGGCAGAGCAAAAAGCACAACCTAAATGTTTCCTGATAGGTCCACTTAAGAAAAGAGCAAAAGTGCAGCATTGTTTGAACAAAGAATGCAGTAAAACATGAGACTTTTATAATGGCTACGACTATTTCTGCTGGACATATAATGACATTTACACAGTGTAATGGGCAAATGGGCAAAGCGGTTCACAAAGAACAGAATTTTCTGGTCCTAATGCAATGCACACTAGGTTGACATCTATTTTCATTGTGTCTGACCTGGATGTATAGATGCTACTGAGGTTTTACAGAGACTACAGCAGTATATAGTAGGGCTGCAACTGACCATTTTCTTAGTAGTCGACAGATTACTTCTCTTGTTCATTGCGAGTTTTAAAATATTTTTATACCACATAAAGTTTGAACGATGGTGACTGTATTACTGATAAAACTTAAATTATTTTTTGAGATTCTGATTTAAAGAAAACATTTTTCTGGTATTAAGTATTAAAGTATAACATGCATATATCATTATTTTAGGTTGTGTTCACTGGAAAGTACAGAAGGACATTGTGTTCAAAACTGCAGAACTTCATTTACGTGTATTTATTGTTGGAAAATGGCCACACGAACCCTATATATGACCCACAGTCTGCATTTATAAAATAACAATAGTTAAGTACAGAGTATGAGGTGGAGATGGAGGACAGGTGAACATTTTATGACCACCCAAGCCTAAAATGGAGGACAACAGAAGATTACTCTCACATGCAAGAATCAGTAGATAACTGAGTAAGCTTATGGTGAGGGAACACTGTTATAACATGGATACTAGGTTGATTTTACATCATATGTCCCCTTTAATAATACCAAATGGTCTTTTGGCATGTGTGGCATTATGATTATCAAAAAATGATTATGATTATTTAATTCAGTCTGAATTGCAGCCCTACTATATAGGTAGGATGAAAATGAATGTTATGTCTTGGGCCTGTTGAACTTCCTCCTTGTGCAATGAACCCCTAAAGATCCTTCAAAATATGAAAGAAAGGTTTGTAAGGCTTGCATCTGCGTCAGTATGTTACAGGCTGTGAGAGCAGAAAGCTACATGGGACAACATGAAAACCACAACACTTAACTATTGCACAGTGCAAAGAGGATCTTCATCCGTAGGGCTGGACACCCCAAGAGCTGGCTGCCTTTTTAGTTGCATCTTTTAGTTGAGTTTGTCTGTAAATATGTTGCAAATGGAGGGTAGAGTTGTGACTGAAGCTTACAGAGATGACTATTTGTACAGGCTCATGGTGGGGCTCTGGTACATGCACATGTAAGCATCACACAGGAGGCGGCGCGCCTGCCCCTGGATGCTCTTAGGGTCCAGGGCGTGCAGTTCTTCTGGACTCATTTTAAGGTAGGCTTCCACCTCTGGACATGGAGACACCTGGGGAATGTTAAACCCATTCTGTCCTCCTGCACACACACACGGACACAGGACCAATTTGACTGTAATAAATGTCTTATAAATGTTTTAATAATACAATGCTTATAACATATAATATTAGTGCAACAAATAATATTATTCATTTATAATGACACCAGGTGCTTAAATTAATTATTAACAGTGTGTAGTTATAAAAAAATATACACATTAATCCAATAGTTAAATCCAAGAAATATTATATGAAAATACATTTTAAATTACAACAAAAAACTTGTGTAACATTGTAAGCAACAGGTACCTACCATCACGGTCAGCCATGCTATCAAAGAAGAGCCAGGCTGAGTCCGCACTCCCGTATTTGACAAAGGCCACATAGTGACTGGTTTCTATGCAGAGCACAGCAAACAGCTCCATCCTCTGGCGAGGGAAGCTCCCCTGTCGACCCATTCCCTCTTGAAGCTCCTTGGGGACAGACAGTTTACCATGTCGATGTGCTTTTCTCTTTGGGTGGAGATGAACCTGAAAGCAAATATTTATACAACCCAACATAACCAACTTTAACCAACATAATAGAAAATACAATGAGGTGCAATATCACACTAATGAATAATGAATCCAATAAAACCATATATTAACACGTGTGCTTTACTAAATGTTCTCGTTTGAAGAGATGCTGTGTCATTCCCTGGTCTACAGTGCCACCAAATGGACATTGTTGATAGCTACCTATGGTCAAATAACTGCTACTTTGGTGCCCTCTTTTGGTTACCTGTGTATTGCACTTCTCACAGAACTGTTTTATCTTGCCAGCCGTGATATCTCCATCCTCGTAGCAGTCACGACACTCGTACAGAGCCAGACCGCCACAGATTCGACATTCCCTTGGAGCTGGATAACAGAGCAAATGACACTGTGAAAAGTAGCACTTGAAAAACTTAAAGCCCACAGCTTTAAAGAAAGAAGTAGGGCTCCTTTCTCTCAGCAGAGTTGCAGGGACAACTCAGAGGAATTCCATTACCAAACGCCAACTGAGTTTTGCCTCTCTACTGATCTACAAGACCACTCCAGCACAGTGGAACCAAATAATCGGCACAACTCACTGTCATCAAGTAGATCTGTGATGTCCAACTCCAGTGAGGGGAAAATCTTGTTGAACATTTTGAAGTCCTTGCCAAAGCGGGGCATCTGGATGATAAGGCAGGAAGGAGCCTGTGGTGGGTCAACAGACATTCTCTCTATTAGAGGGCATTACATCAGCAGAGGACAGTGCTCAAATACAAAGATAGTGAGTGTGTTTTATCTATTGTAACTTAAAAAGGGTAAAAAAAAAATAACAGCTATGTTGAATTAGTATGTAGTAATTATTTGCCAAAATGACTTCAATTACCTCAGCAAACTTGAGGTCACTGTTAATGAAAGACCACTCTAGAAGTTGCTGGATTGTAGGAACACCAACTTTGTCCTTTTTGTCCATAAATATCTGATAAAAATAACAGTCTTGAACTTTTTGACCAGCTGACCTGTGAAGAAAAGTATTTTGTTTAAGTGTAAATAAAGTTTTGTTCTTATGCCATATACATATGAATTGTGTGATAAACTAGGTCATTCTAACAATACCATTTCTGTTATTATGCTTCCAGCCAGTTTATTACAACTAGTCTGACTGAGCCAAACAAATAATGAAGTAATTACTGAAAAATACATTATTTAAATAAAATAAAGTATAAATGTTTTTGTCACCACTTTACCTTAGTTTTAGTAAAGGATCCACTCTAAGAATGTGATGAAACAGGATATTTAAAAACTCCTCCGGGTCTGCGAAAGAAGATGAAATGAATGACTCATTGAAATACAAATATGCCAATGATTGTGTAATAAAAAGTATTAAAAGGAAAAATGTAATACTGTACCTTTCTCCTCTGATGTAAAACCTGATGCTGCTTCCACCTTCTCCAAGATCCTCCTTAGCTTCATAATTTTGGTAGCACACACATAACCATGTCTGCAGGGCCAAATGAAGAAAAAGGTCAGACTATGTCCAGCAGACAGTAATTTTTAAGTTACATTTTTTATTTTAACAATTTCTTACATTCGCAGGGGGTTAACTATCTCTGTGCGCAGTAGCTCCTGGGTCTCTCTGTAATACTCCACATCTGTCTTAGAACGTGGTCTTAGCAAAACTGTATCCAGAACAGAGCTAAAGGCAAAAAGACTGCAAAGAATAATCAGAATATCAAATATTAGACTCTGAGATTATAACCTTTTACTAATTTATGTTGATGCAAGGTTGAATTATATACTCACAAACCATGGTATACTGACCAAAAGAGAGTAGAGTCCAGGTAGCAGGAGTTGTAGTGGCCCTGGATGCCCTTCTTTTTCCCCACCATCACATCTAGACCATCATTCTCCGTCCGGGGTGGGGTATTTTCATGCACCACCTCACTTAGGTAACCCCCAAAAGCTGCAAATACAAAAATAACATAATTAGAAATGCACAATTAGCTCTAATTTACTTTAAAATCCTTTCCTAATTCTACAACTTACCAATGGAGTTGCATCTCTCTATGGGGTTGGACGAATGATGTAAGGAAGGGAAGCGGGAGTCGGGCCGACAGCATTTGAGCTTTACAAACAGGGCTTTTTTTGGTGGACAAGTAAAGTAACGAGTACCTTTGAAGGTTCCATCAGTGCAACCAGGACACTCCTCTTCCTGAATATAAAGAAAAAAATATACAGACATACATACAACAAGGCATTTGAGGAAAAAAAAGTCTTAACAGTCTAAAATTAGGCTTTATAGCACTTAGACTAGATCATGCTTGTTGAATCAGCATTTTTGATCATTTCTTTTATATATATTATATTGGTGCATTTCTATTGGTTTCTGCGTGTTTTCTGGACACTGAACGGCATAAAAGCAGTATGCCCAGGAGTCAGTGATGCTCTGGTCAGCATCTGATGTCAGATAAGATCAGGCATTCTCAACTTGGTAAGGCCTTATTATTATGTTTTTCATTGTCATTGTGGGTCATCACACTACACCAACAAGCAGCTCACCAATTCTAATCCAGCCAGTGGCTCCAACAAACCAGGGGGCAGTCCCACCCAGCGAATAACTCCACACAGAGGGGGATTCTCCTTCACTTCCACCAGAGAGCCCACCTCCAAGCCTGGCTGTCCATGAGGCGGTGTAGGAGGTCGAGGAGAGGATGGTGCAGCAGGTGACAAGGCCTCAGGCTGCTCTCCCATCACAGACTGGACAGACAGAGACAGCGGCCCATGGCTTATGCTGTCATTGGGCCCAGTTTTTCTGTTCAAGCTAAAGGGCAACGAGTGGAACTTGTTATCGCTGGACAAGGAGGCTGAAGGGGGTGCTCTGGAAGGCGGGGAGGCCTGGTTAAAATCAGGGGGAGTTTCAGTGAGTGACTTCGCAGGATCCTCTCCAACTGTAAGAAAACAAGAAAACAATTCAATCAAACTTTCAGATTACACAAAAAATGTTTAACAGCGCTTTTATGAGAAGAGTCATGCCATGGTGGCAGTTTTCTCAATGATGATGAGGAGTGATGAAGAGTCCAAAAAGAATTTTCTTAAAAATTATAAGATACAGAATATACTCAATGGAGAAACATGAAAAATGGATGGGGTTCAGTGTTCAACCACTAGATGTCAGAACAAAAGAGATTTTGGCCAGTGGTAAGGAAGGCCGACCGCCAGATATTTTTTAGAAATTAATAATGATTAATGAGTACTTTTTATTTCTAGGCTTGTTATTTTTCAGTTTTCAGTTTCAGGTACTCCAGGTAAGAAAACCTGTTAGGACAGGCCTTGGGAAACCACACTTTACCACCACTCTCTTGGCACATAATAGAGGATGTTTAACTAAAGTGCAATCATAGAACAGTCACAGGTTGGCTGAAAACATTGGAGCCTATATATAAACACCAATACAATTTGATCCACACAATATTAAATATAGAATGAACCCAAAAATAAACTGTGACCGAACAAATAAATAGGCTTTTACTAATGCATTAGTTGAATAAAGTACATGATCCTAAATGGTGTCTTTGTGCTGTGCCAATGTAGGAGAAAGTAGTGCTGTCAACATTATTAAAAGCCTTCACACAACACAGAACACATGCACGTGGTATTTGACACCGAATAGGATGAAGGACAAAACTGGTGGACAGCTCTTCATAACAAGCTACTGCAACAAACCACATTTGTGCTTCTGTTGAGATTGTGTTTCTATTCCTAACACATTTTACTGTTGTTCTGTTGTCATCCTAATCCTTGACACCAGGTTAAAATAGCAACATAGTTATTTAGAGTTTAATGCCATTTGATATTAACAGAAAGTCTCAGGCAGTTATATAGTCACTATTTGACCAACAGCCTATTTTGGTTGATGGGACACAGTGACAGTTGCTGCTTAGCATAACTACTCAAGCTAATCAACAGTTTAAGTTGCATTTTTTGTGACTGTCAGAGACTTGACAAAGCTGAACAGATTCTCTATACATTTACTATTTTTGTGCTGTGCTGTAGAAATCATACAGTAACACAATGAGTCTGTTGTATCAACAGAAAAAAACAGTACATGGACATATTGTTTTTCCCTCCCTGTGGCATGTTGTACACAGGAGCTTGTCGGGAAGATGACCAAGATCCCAAGTGACCCATGTTTTACCTTCATCAATGTACCATGTGCTTTTGGATTTGGACTGAGCAGGGGGATCAACAGAGCTGCCATTTAAAGTATAGTAAAATTCAGACTTGCTTCTACTGCCACACTGGTGACCTAAACCTGTAAATCACACAGTACAGCAACACACAGAAAAGGACAAGCAAAGTGTGACAATCAGCACTAGCTAAAAGAAGGAAAAGTCTAAGAGGATAATGGAGAAAAACAAGTCATTTAATAGGTCACTGTCGATCATTCAAATGTAAATCTAAAAAACATGTTTTCCTAGTGAATGCCTTTAAAAAAAAATCTAACCTTTTTATTTTTTAACAAAAAAACAAACAAAGAATTAGGTTATAAGAGCTTGAGTAAGACCTGAATGTAAATACCTTTACTCTTTGGTTTGCTTTGGCCAGACTTGTCATTGTTGGTGCCTCTGGAAGGAAAACTGTGCTTTTGCAGCCTTTGGTCCTGCATGGAATATTCTACAGAGAAAATGCAAATCATTAACATAGAGTACTTGCATACACTATATTTATAAGGGGCAGATATAATGTTATATTTTTCTATCTGCTCTTTTTCAGCAGTGTATATGTATAATTTGGTACACAACTGAACTAAACCATAAAATACAAACAAAACTTTTTAATATTACAAATAATTTATATACCAGTTTAAACAAAGGTATTGTTAATTACTCATGTATTTACATTGTGTACATTGCTAGCAATTATGGCAGCATTTCCTGAAATGATTCAATATGGTGCTGTGAAGAACGCAGACCCACAATTATTTCACTGGATAAAAACAAGTGTCAACAAAAGACTCTTTGTTAGTGCTGCAGGCAAAACACAAAGTCCGAATGCTCATGAAGAGGTCAGAGCACAGCACAGAAGCACAGTTTCAGAATAACACTTCACATGTTCAGCAACAACAGACAAATGAGCAATGCTGTGTAGTAGTAGACTCACCTGGCATTACGTCACAAATCGGGACTAGTTTTGTATGCTCCAAACTGGCAAAATTACATAGTAGCTTCCCATCCATCACACCATTCCAGTCGCCAATAGGATTGTCCTGCAAGAATTGGACACATAGTGAGGTAGCAGTCTCATCCCATGTGTCAAGCTTCTGCTTCTAATGTTGTAGTGACGGAATCTGTTATGGTCTTATTACTATAGCACACTTGTGTTTACGCCTCTGCTCCTCCTCCGCAGCAACACAACCATGCTTTTCCCTCATTTAGTGTGAAATCTTGTGCTCTGACAAACTATAGTCACTAGAGAACGTAGGGCGAGGCTGAACGCAGAGAGTGCCAGAGCAGTGGGCTCTCCTCAGCTGCCTGCTGGCCCCTAGCCATGCTGTTGGGTCATAGAGCACAGCGTCTTTACTTCACTCCCCTCGTGACTGCCTTGTCTTTGTGTGGGTGGCTCAGATACACTGAGTGGGATGATGCTGATGCTGATGCTGCTGCTGTTGCTAACAATGACCATTCTAATCGTTTGGTTATAAGTTTCAATCGCTCTATAACAACAATAGCCTTCCTACCTGACAACAGTAGTCATAGATACTAGCTGCTATGAACCCCAGCAACAGTTGGTAAACAGCCCTCTGCCTTATCATACACTTAATAGTCATGGGAAAATAAAGGCCTAAATCAGTCACAATCATATCACTGTGTATTTGATATTTAATATGATAATCTATCTAATAATTTTGCCTTCCTCTGGGAAAAAATAAGCTTGTAATGTAATCTCTAAGTCATGCAAACAATTCCATTTTCGTAGCTATTAAAGACTTTTAAAAGGTATAAAATGTGTGAAACAGTATTAGTACAAAACATGCTAGCTTTACCCTTTTTAAATGAAAGAAAGACTTTTCTACTTTTTACTGACATAAGGGGTTCTGTGAAACAGTATCTTATTTTCATGTGTGCATAAAAATTATAATAAATTGAACTTTGAAAAATAAACAGCAGAATTTAACCAGCAGCAAAACCCTTATACATTTCCCCTCTTATGCCGTATATGTATGTTTTCCATATATTCCCCTGTAAACAAATGTCTTGCTATTTATGGAAATGATGACTCTTGTAAACGGAGGCTTACTCACCATGTCCACTCCTACATAGTAGCCCAAGCTCTCATTTCCCGGCAGCAGATCACAAAAAATGATGGTCCCTCTCTCTGGGCCACCTCTGGTCTGCACCAGGACCCTGGAGTTGATCTCCAGTGGTGGAAGTGGAGGATAGTCCTGATCATCATCTACAAGGCTGACATGTTCCATATCCAGCTCCCCCAAACCATCTTCATCATCCTCCTCCCAAAGTTCAAGTTTGTCCAGAGCCACAAACACCCCACACTCGTCTTCACAGCGGAAAAGCTGCCGGCCCTGATAGGAGCCCTCTGTGAATCCTTGTCCCCTGCCCTCCTCCTACACCAAGAAGACCTTATTACATTGTATTGTATAAAAACTAAAAAGCACAAAAAGATGACTAATAAAAATATAATAACAGAATGCCCATAACCCATAATTGTTTTTGAATAATACACAGTGTAAGATCACTAACCTCGGAGTGGTGGAAATTGGAAATGTTACAGAAGCCAAAATAACTACAAAGTTTTTACTAGTTCTATATTAAACATAATATAAAGAGAAGACAGAGGTCACTGTGTGCTCAGCTCAGAGCAGGAGTGCTGCCCCCAGAGGTGGAAGTGGGGAGCTTCCTCAGAGGAGGACAGGTTATATACTCTATGTGAATTATGTATGTTATGAATTTCATTTTATGGTTTATTGTTCACCATGTGATGTAAGAACTGATTTGCATGAAATAATTCAACAGAATGACCCTGACTTGATTAGGCTGCATGAAGACCAAATGTTGTATTGGTTGGTTAAAAATGTTTGCATGGCAGGTCTGGACATTGAGAAGATTCGTTGTTGTGACTGTTATGTTGGATTCTGTGATATACATCTATGAATGACACCTATCTTTATAATGTGGAAAGTGTCATATGCACCCATACTCACCAGTAGTTCCACTCCAAACCAGATTCCAGAAAGAGCCCTGTCTGGCAGCAGAGAGCCCTTAAATCGGACCACACCAGGCAGCGGCTCATCTCCTGACCGGAGCTGGACACGGACCTTAGAACCACAGTCAATGTCGCGTACACGCTCCAGACGTGGTTTATTGCAGAGAAGGCTGTAGCGTTCTTCACAGTTAGTGATAGGGAAGAGGAGTTCAGCCAGTTTCTCATCAAGCTCAAGGACATCCCGTTCATCCAGACTTAGTACTACGTTGGTCTGGTCAAGTATGCGCAAACTTTTCTTGCCCTTGCAGGGTGGCAATGTGCGCCCCAGGCTATTGCGCTCCTGGCACGCCTGGCCAAGACTGCCACGAGGGATTCTTAAGGTCTTTTGGGGAGGCTTCTCTACTGTGCACTCTTTGACGACCATGTAGAAGCGCCAGTCCTCCCTGAAGCCCCCACTGGGCTTCTCCTTGTTCCACAAGGCAGAGCTCATGGCTGCCCGATAAGCAGTGAGCTGCACATCAAGGCAAGCCCGAGTGTACTTTAGATCTGGCAAAAAAGAAAAAAAAAAAAAAACGTATTAGTTGACATACAGCCTATTCTAAATTCCGGTATGCAGACAAGTAGACTAACTTTTTTCTAACCACTCAGCTCGTTAAATACATGAACAATGGAACAATAATTGAGGGTCAATATTTATAATGGGTACTTTTTATTGTATCAGTGGGGAATCTTTTGTTATTATTATTATAGACAACAATTACAATTGAGCTGTAGAGGATTAAACAAATTACTTCTATGGGTGATTATAGGAACAAACTAACTACTAAGGCCTAGTTTCAACATTAGCAAACATTAATAAATCCACATTAATTTATTTTTTTTTATTTAAAATATAATTAGTACAAATTACAGTACTGTAAAGTGAAAACTGTACTTTATGTAATGAAAAGCATTAGCATTAGATCAAATTAGCATTTAGATTTGATATGAGTTTATCATCTGTATTATGGTATTTCACTTTTACCTCCACTCCAAGAATTTAGACTATTCTGAAGAAACAGCATTTTAAAAGGTGTAGTTATTGTGAGCTAGAGATATAATAGTTAATTGTGTATTAGGTATTCTTAAATCTCGCTCTGTATAAAGTCTAAAGGCCAATATACAAGTCTAATGGACTTCCCCTAACACTCCTCTAACACCTCAGCAGATCACATGCACACAGACAGTATGAAACACACAGACTGTATGATGCACACAGACTGTATGATGCACACAGACTGTATGATATACACAGAGTGTATAATGCACACAGACTGTATAATGCACACAGACTATATGCACGCACACTACGAATCAGTGTTTTCAACACAGTCAATCAAGAGTGTCTGGAATAAGAAATACAGGAATCAACTTTAAGTAGAAATGACTTCTTACAATACTTACCGAACCCCTATGTTAACATATTGTTTAGATCTTCGAAAACAATGGAGAAAAAGATATCAAAACTGGTGTTCTAATGATAACAACATGTTTTTCCACTGATAAAATGACTGTGAAATCAAATGTGTCGTCGGAGCTGTCAGCTGCGCTTGGGAGGGGGCAAAGTGGCTACAGCACAGCAAGCTAATATTCACGTAATAAGCATTTACTTTAAGAATTAAAATCAAGTACGCCTTACCTTGGATGCTGAAGTGTTTAGTTAAACCGCACAAATGACTGCCATCTTAAGAGCCCATTCTATTTGGACGTAAGCTTTTGGAAAAAGGCTGTAAGGCTGTATCCTGTGATTAGCTAAAGGGCTAGCTGATGTTAGCGCTCTATGCAGCGGAGGCTTTGAATGGGGTAAACATCACGCTGGAGTCAAGTCAGTCATCTCACGAGCTGTACGGGGAATGGCAGATGAATATCACCCTCTTAACCATATTGGCAGTCTCTAGATAGGAGCGTTCTCGTCGGAAAGCGGAGACAGTTGTACAATGTGCTGCTTTAGATGACATGTATTATTTACAGGAGACGATCTCACAATGCTCAAAAGTATGCTGTCATACGCGTTCTCGTCGCCCATTGGTCACATTCATTAGGAGGACTCTCTGATTGGATGGAAATGGAGGCTGTGAGTTAGGCCCACACTGTGGGGTTTTCCCATTGACAGCAGCTCACTGTGTTAGGTTGCAGAGTAGACACTGAAGGAAACGATGCTCTCAATGCAACTAAGTTACAGCTGAGGCCTACTCTTCATGTACACAGTTATAAACTATGGAATTTCTGTGGATTGTGATCACTGATTTTCATTTTCATTTCATGAAATGCTAGAAATAATGAAACCAGGGGAAATAAGTGATTAGGAGCTTATTGTATTTACAAATACAGTCAGTACAAGGCTTTCAGAAGATCAGTCGAGGCTCCTTTTTTTTCAACTCCTCTTCATCCTTCTTGCTGAGGTGATTGTTTTTTAACCTACCATAAAAGAAAATAGTTCATAATCTAGTAGGCTACAAGAAGAACAGGTTTGAATGCAGCCAAATGCAGCACACACACCATACAGATTTCACTCTGACGTTGTGTTGTAACGCTTCAGTCAGACTGTCCACACCTGGGCGGGTTATGCAGTTGTCGGTCAGCCTTTGGTAGGACATAGTTCAGTGATCATGATGTTGACAAACCACATTCATAAAAATGTTATTGTAAACTACTTACCAAAGATCTTCCAGCGAAGTGCAATTCCTAATGACACTGGCAAGTGCAAAAGCTCCTACACTCCCAACACCATTGCCTACCAAACTAGTGTTACAAACAGAACTGATTATCTTTATGCAAAAAAGACAACATACAGTTGTTCCTATTGTTCCTGTGTTACCTGAGCCACAACAGAGATTTGCTGTTTTCTAATGCACAAGCTAGAGCTCTTGCTCCTGTGTCACCTATTTTATTTCCCCAAAGTCTGGTGACAATAAAAATATTATAGGTCTATCTCACAAATCACAAGGACATTTATTTTTTTCAAACATATGTTCTGTTTGAATAGTAGTAGTAGTGCACTGTACAGTACCCTAAATGCTGCAGTGAATGATTCCGTTTCAAGCCTTCTGCCAGTTGTTCAGCTCCTTCTGCACTTATATTATTGTTCCCAAGTCTGTAAAAACAAAAATAAAATTTTTGTACAGGCATCACAATATTAAACGTTATAAGCATTCACAATTCTGTGAGCTGACCTCAGAGCAAGGAAATTTTGCCTGTTCTTCAGGAGCTCCGAAAAGTATTTCATGCAGTTATCAGTAAGTTTGTTGTTAAAAAGCCTGGAAATATTATCATTTTATTAGAGTTGACAACACAGATGGAATGGTTCCTCCTACTTACGCAATTTTTTGGAAATTCTCACAGAGGATTCCTTTTGTGATCAATTTGGAAATGCCTTCATCTGATATGTTGTTGTTTCTGAGGCTGCAGAAAAGACAAGTGCATCAGCTCCATTCTTCCTCTGTTTACAGTACAGTGTTTTTCATAAGCATTAATAATATATGAGTACTTACTACAGTGACTGGCAGATGTGCAGACAGGGAAGAAGCTGCTCAATGCCAACATCCCCAACAGAGTTGTAATCAAGCTGGAGGCCCACAGGGTTTTTCAAATGTTGCAGGACATAGGCCAGAGCCGTGCACTCCACTGGACCAATGTTGCAGTAGGTCAGTTTGAGGTGCTGGACATCCATCTTGCTCATGGCATCTTTAGCAACTGTGTTCTCTTGCATCTCATAGATGCATTTGATTAGCCACACAAAACCTGGCATTGCATGCATACTTTTCTTTTCTCCTTGAACTGGTTGAGGAATGGATTTGAAGTGTTTTTGCAAGGCTTTCGATAGACATTTAGTCACCAGTTTGGCTCTCTTTACTATATTGCTGCTGGAGCAGCACTGGAACCACAAACACTGGTGTCTTTGGGACAGTAATCCACATAGAAACATAGCTGTTATTTGCATGTTTTGGTGTTTCGCTTCTGTAGTGTCTCTGTCATCTAGGAGTTTCTGCTGTTGCTCAGAGCTGGACAGACATCCATGGAAACATGTGCTACCGAAGGGCGTCATCTTTGGGTCCTGCGTTTTAAAGAGTCTGGGTATGGTGCAGTGTTCAATGGTAGTAGACAAAACAATAAAGGCAGCTGCAAAAAAACACTGTATTGTTACATGGAGAAACTCAAACATGTTAATGTGGTTTGAGGACATGCTTTTGCTTTGCATAAGAAAACCACTTCCAACGTCCATCTCTGTGACCCCACATTTGTTCAGGTCAGCCTGAGAGAATACATAAACAGAACAGTTAATTCCCTCAGAGGCTAGTTGTCCCAAATGTAAGATAGTTGTGTGATGCTGAAGCATCCAGCTTAATCCATCATCTGTGTTAGCTGAGCCTTGACGCTGGAAGAAATGCTGCAGAATCATAAGGTAAGCATGTGTAATCGTCTTTGGACTTTCCTCATAACTGTCCAGTAGCTCCTTATGACACTGGGAGACAATCCAGCACAGGACTGGACTATGGCACAGTCCTAGTAAAGCACTGTTTGTTTTTACAGACTGTAAAACTTTGACTGCCACTGTTGCATCATTGTGGTGTTTCCTCACAAAAGAGTCAATGCTGCTGGGAGAAAATCCTTTAAGAATCACCTCTTTACGAAGGTGCTTCTTCAAAGCAGGACTGACAGCTTGTGGTCGACTGCTCACTATTTTAAGCACTCCTTTCATTAAACATCCTTGGAGTAGATTAAACAAGATTATGGGAACTGATGCACACTGGGTTGGGCAGCAAATTCTCTGCTCATCTGAAAAAGTATCTTTGAGTTCATCCAGGCCATCGAAGGTAAAGATAATGAGATGGGGATGGTCTAAAATAAACTGAAAAATCTCATCTTTGTCACGGTCCGGCCAGCAGCAGTGTTGAAACAGTAAGTCTATTACAGACAGCTCTCTTTGCTCTGAGTTTAACCTCCGACAGCTAAATGGGAACAACAGAAGAAAGTCTTGTAATGCTGCCCCTCGGGCCCAAAGCAGGTGCATCCTTTGGAGTAGGGTGCTCTTTCCACTGCCTGCATATCCAGACAGCAGCACAGTGTCAGCCTCAGTGTTCACTGTGCCCACCTCACCAACTATGTCCTCCAGGGTCACAGAAGTACTACTAGTCTCACTTAAGTCCTGTGGTAGCTCCAACTGGCCCTCCGTGTAGATGTCATCCAAACGCATAATGCTGCCTCCTCCATATGTACCAACAAATGATGACTGGGCCAAAACAGAACTGCTCAACTTTTTCTGGTACCTAGAAAACTCTGAGAATAAGAATATTGGGGTAATGGTAAGAAGACAAGCCACTATTTCCTAAATTCCAGCAAAACAAAAAAATATTTTGGATACAACAATTAAATTAAATTGATTACTGATTAGTACTATTCCACACAAAAAAAATTGCTTGCTAAATTAGGTTGATATATATATAAGTGGTC